CCTCCTCCTCCTCCTCCTCCTCCTCCTCCTCCTCCTCCTGTTATGCCAAAGAACACTGGCTGCACACAGGATGATCTCACTATGCTACAGTGTTAGGAAGCTTTGAAAGCAGCAAGTGAGATGAGTGTGTGCTGATCTAAGGCTGGGTTTCTGTATCTTGACTCAACTGATGTGCAGGACCAGGTAGCTAGGGCTGTGGACAGTGTCCTCTGGGCTCTGTGGTATTTCTGCAGCATTCTCAGCCACCATCTATGAGAACTGAGCAGCTGCCTTCACCCTATAGAAATGGTTTCAGGGGACAAAATCACTTCCACATGGTGACTAATGATCTAGAGTGACATCCAAGATGGGAAAAGATAAACTGAGGTATAACTGTAGAATAAAGTCTGTTTTTATTCATTTCTTTTTTAAAAAGTAGCCCCAACTGTTAAAAATGGTCACATTACAAGAGACAGGATTAGAACAATGAGAAGGGTTCTTAACTTCTTTACAGAAATACAAAATAAGTCTATAAACATCAAACATAACAGACAAACAAAACAAAGGCAAACTAAAACATGACTCAGGAAAAACAGAATGGAAGAAAACACAAAATGGTTAAATCATAATACCTGCTGGAGTTTAATATTTTGTTTTGTTTTCTTTGAAACAAGGTCTCATGTAGCTCAGGCTGGCCTTACATTTATCAAGTAGCCAAGGCTGACCCTGAATTCCCAATTTTGTTTGAAACAGGGTCTCATGTGGTTCACTATGTAGCCAAGGCTAGTCCTGAACTTGTAATCCTCTTTGATTCAATCTTCAAAGTGTTGGGGTGACAGGGCATTTTCTCCCCCAGAAACCCTGAACTATTGCCCCGCCTCCCATGTTCTTTTGAGGTTCAAGCATTGTTCACTTACTTCCATTTCCAGTAATAGGTTATTGCTTTTTGTTATTTTTATTTACCTTATACATATATATCTTTCTGGGATGCTTTCTTAATGTTTTCAGACTTAACATCTAGAAGTTTTAAAGCTGTTGTCAAGCAACTTACGAAGTACACATCAATACATTTGATCATGACTGAGTAGTAATATCTCAGTTAACTGGTATGACCATGTTAGCTAAATCTAACTTGACTCCCATTGTTCTAATGCTTGTGGAAATCAGCCCAGCCCCCAAACACAGCATTTTGAATGGATTCTCACCAGCAAAGTGATGGCTAAGAACCAAGCCCTTCTGGCAGAGGCCACCTGTCACTCACACCTTTATTACGGAGCTGACTGCTGGGGCTCTCCTTCCAGGGGACTGAAAAGGACCCTTCCCTGGGTGTTTTCAGGGTGCCGGTATCTGGGCTGACTCAGCATTTGTTTCCTAATTTAATCCCCTGGTTATTGGTACTATTACATTATTGGTCCTATTACTATACTAATGCTTAGACAGACATGAGTGAGTCCCTGGGCCACTAGTCACTGGCCAATGACTCTTGCTCAATAGAAAAATGATTCTCTAATGAGCCATGGTGCCCTAAGGATGGATGGTGCCAACCGAGAAAGAAGAGAATGGGTCCTGGGCTTTTCACCACCACCATCCATTTTAACAAAATCATCTTCATGCCCATTTGTTTTCTAAACTGAGTTCTCTTGTTTCATTTAGAAAAAGACAGTGCTTTTCTGTAGTTGGGGAATTATTGTGAAGAATATTGTTGATGAGGCCAAGGCTTTGCCAAAACGTAAGTCTTTGGCCCCATCCTTCTTATCTCCCACAGGACAAGATATCAAGAACCCTCTGGAATATATTCAAGGAAACGCCAATTCACATAACCTACTCACGAGGTTGTGCCAACATTTTCCATGGCCAGTTACCCTATCACAGCTTCCTACATCGGAGGACTAGCACATAGGAAGATTACACATCAGAGTGCCTATAGACTCTATACTATAAAGTCAATAGTATATGGGTTCAAGCTTCGGCTTTATTAACAACTGCTCAGCAGAATTTGAGTCCCAATAGCTCCAATCATTTTCTATTTAAAAAAGTAATTGTTGAAAGATGTCTAGGTAGTCAGGCACTTAGGGAGGCAGAGGCGGATGGATCACTGTGAGTTCGAGGCCAGCCTGGTCTACAAAATGAATCTAAGACAGCCAAGGCTACACAGAGAAACCCTGTCTCAATAAACCTGGGGCAGGGAGAAGATATCTAGGCTGGGATGCAGTTCAGTATTAGAGTGTTTCTCTACCACAGGTAGGACCCTTTTTCCAATCCCTAGTACTACAAAACAAAGTTGTTTTTTTCATTGATGTTAGGACTTCCTATTTTTTTTACGTTTCTTTTAAAAATTCATAGTGAGCATTTAATTCTTGATTTTTGAAATTCTCAGTCTTTAGAAACTAGAAACTCGAAATGTGATTCTTTTAAACATTCAACAGAAGTTAAGAATGGCGTATCAAATTTACTGCAAAAAAGCACAGGACAGAAGAATTTGTATGTACTTCTCCAGAGGAGCTCATAGCTTTTCTTCATTAGGAATGACATAATAAGGAAACACATAATTGAAAACAAAGCTCAAAGAAACATAACATGTTTTTATAAATCATTTCCTCCTTATAAAATTGGTCTTGAAAGACTTGTCCATGGTCAACTTACTTAGGCAAAATAAATACTGGATTCTAAGAGACCACTGCAAGCAACAAGATTTGAATGCCAGTAATGTTTGCAACGTTTGTCTCTGTGTTTAATTTTATGTTGTGTGTTTAATTTTATGTTGTGGTTCTGAGTTCAAACCTAGAATCTCACTCACTTTAGACAAGAGCCCTCCCGCTAAGCCATGTGTAGTATCTACTCAGCACTTGAGAAAAACTCATGTTCCAGGACAGGAAGCTGCATGTGCAAGTTGAGTGAGACAACACGGAGTATGCTTACAGGTGCTGAGGTCAGGGTTAGCCAGGAGAGGAGAAACAGGATGGAGTGGACAGATGGTAATGGGCTAGAGAAGACAAGGCAGGGAGGTGGCAGGATACTTCCCTCACAAAGGACCCCAGAGCTAAGGTACAAAAGGAGGCATACTTCAATAGCTAGGGAAAGGAGCAGTACATGCCCAGCAGAGGCATGCCCTCCAGACCCATGGAGGTGTAGGGAAAAGAGCAAGACACAGCACTACACAGCAATGGAGGCCCAGGAACCACAGGGACCGTCGGCTGTGAGATGAACAGTGGCTAGAAAATGATGGATCCGACAGACTGGTCTGGGACATCTGGATGGCAGCATACAAGAATCCCACTGGATGTTCGACAGATGTTCAATGTAGTAACTCCTACCTAGTGGAATTATCCATACCAACAAGTAAGAGCTGACTGTTCCTCCTGGGTAGTCCACCTAAGTCAACCTGAGACATTCGGTATAAATGTCCAGGTGACTACCTCAATCTGTGTTCTGAGGACAACTGAAGGACCAGTATCCGACTGTAGAAAGTCATCCGGAACAGGCAGACCTGGCTTATGACCTGCTCTCACAGGAAAGCACTGCACTACTTG